TACTGTTGTTGTTACTCTGTTCAAAGGTTGAAAACTGAACTCAACTCATCAGCTTACACTTCACTCCCAAATTCCTAAAAATCATCCAAAATTTTTTGTACTTGTGAAGGAGTTTGGCAAAAAACGAGATGGTTTATACTTGGCTTGCTATTTCAAGAAAGATGTCTCGAAATTACACGCTCTTCTTGTATAATAACTGTAATATTTGAAGCTGAGCATCTGTATGCCCAAATCACATTTAGTAATACTCTACCATGAACGAGCCATTTTACTAATTAACTTCACTTGCTTATTATTTGAACTCTTTATTTAATGGGAATTTTTACATACATGTGAAAATGTGCTATGCGATTTTGATTTTTCAACATTTGGCAGATGATAATATATTTACCCTTATTTAACCCCTACACCAACCCCCCCCTCCCCACCTATCATATATATTTTTTATCCTAAATACGCAAGTCGAGATCCCATTTCATACGCAAAACTTACTTCTCTCAAATTGTAGCCTCTATATTTTTTTTGCGAAAAGCAGAGCGCTTGGAAAGATCAGAGAAGTTGTTACCTTTAAGCGTGGTATAAGTGAAGGTGCCTGTTTCGCGCGCATAAAAATGGTGCGCAGCATGGTGTGTGTATCACCTCCAATAAGTACATTTGGTTTTGATGAGAAGAAAAAGATACGAAAAGGAGTGAAGCACATAGAAGTGGCCTTCTCTCCTACATCGCCACCACCACCACCACCACCACCTCCTCCTCGAAACTCGAAACTTAAAATCCCCTCAGCACCCCAACAAGTATTGGCAGGCGGCAAGGGTACGGCGTAGAGTCTAAATTCAAGAAATGGCGTCACCACCAGTAGAAAATATCTCCAATCTAGATGCGCCTTTGGCGCTAGATTCAAAGAAGACGGAGGGGTTGTGGGAAGAGACAACGGAGGCAAAAAAAATGGATATAGCATCTGCTGATGACAACAAGAAGATCGGAAATATCAGCGACAGCGTTGAGTGAGTACTTATGTGTTTTCTCTCCTTTTTATACAACACTTCTGTTAGCACTGGCGAACCTCAAGTGTCACTCACCCTTGAGAACAAGTTTAGGCATTTAGAGTATTGTGAATGCTTTAATTGTGCACAATTAATAAATATTTACTTAGCCACGACTTAAACAAAACTCGCGAAATCCATAATTGTTCTTCAAATACCATCAAATAAGACTAATTGAACAAATTAATGAAAACAAGCTTACAATTTAAAAGTAGGTACGCATATGTCATTGTCACCAAAGTGATTAATTGGGAAAAAAATACGAAAAAATATCTAACTCTATCTAGGCAAATACGGATATGCATAGGCCTAAAATGATACACTTTGCTAAGTCACGTTGTGTATAATGTTAGAAACACGCAAAAATAAAATTTCAACAAATCGTAAAATTTTAGTAAATGTAACACTTGGGATTTTAAACAAATGCGCACAATTTATTCAAAAAGAGAACCTAATCCTCAAGATGAGATTAAATGCAAAAAGAAAAAAGATTGCAAATTTCCCATAAGACCTTTAATATTTGAATTAACTATCAATATTAAATAAATTTTAAGTTTATAAGTATTGAGAAAGTATATATATATATATAATAGTTATTTCTATAATTTGCATAATATTAATGTTGAGATAAAACCGAAACCATTTGGAGTGAAGATATGAGGTATGTTTCCGATGTTTTGGAAATTAAAATCAGAGAAATTTCATTAAAATTAGCGTTCCCATTTTATTCCTAACTTTGAAGATCTTGAGAAGGGTCAGCCATGATGGGTCAATAGTTGTAAATTCGGAACCTCAACTAATAAGTTTTGAATATCTAAACACTTCTAAGTCTTGGAAATTAAAACAAGTAATACAGGCACGAATTAAACACGTGGTTGAATGGATTTAAGAGCAAGGTACTCCGAAGTTAGGAACTGTTGATGCTGAAAAGACTAGCATTACTTTCGAGGATTGGAATGGTATAGGAGCTTAGTTTGAAGTGTACAGACCCTCTATTCTCCCTCTCCCTTGAGCAAATCATTCATCTCTTTTCCTATGAATTCAGTTTAGAACGGGCTAAAACCCTACTGATTTAGAAAAGTAGATGGAAATACTTTTGTAAGTTAAATGTACACTTTTTTGTTATTACAAATCTATATTGAGTGCTGGAGTAAATTATATCTAGTCGATTTAATTGCACATCAGTAATTGATCAAAATTGAGGTTTAATTCAGGCAGACACATGGATGAATTTTAGTGGGTTTGATAAATTAGCGTATTTTTATTTATAAAATTGGAAACGTCAAAGAAGACAGGATTAATATTGGTTTGCATTTTTCTTTAAAGGTCATTCCAAACTGGGATATTTGAGAGGGCTCTACTAGAAGGTTTTAAGTTAAGAATTTACTGTTAAATGATTTTAAACGTGGACTTTAGGATGATCATTGGTTTAAGAGTTAAAATTGTTAATACTTCATCCCCAATTGAATTCCAGTACTGGTAAAATATCAGCTACAATGGAGATTAAAAGCTAGGAAATCTCAAGGAGAGAAACATCTAAGAAATGACTCATCCAATGCCTAATTGGATGGTCGATCATCGATAAATAGAGCTCATTAATTTTCATTACTCATTTAGATCCTATATTCCTGTAATATTTAAACCTGAAAATCAGATAAAATGGGCCAAAATAAAATCCAAATAATGAGAAGAGAGGGGGTGGGGAGAGAGTAGAATTGGGCATAGTTACAAAATCAGCGGTTCACTTTCAAAAATTCTACTTAGATGATTCGGCTGTGAATTGGCGTAAATGCCTGCCATTCACGTCCACTGCTACTTAACCATAGTGGCTACATCAAGCCAGTTTTCCCAAAATTTTAAGAAAACCAGCTAGTCTTGCCTGAGAGGCAACACAATTCGGTTCTAACATCGCAGAATTTACTCCAAATGCCTGTCTTCAATTTCCATCTTTAGAGGGAGCTGTTTTGTGAAGATAGTCTGTCAACATGGCTGTGTAATTTTGGGGAAGCGTTTACCATGACAATGATGATTTCCCCGGATTTAGGTTTGTGATCGATGCTTCATAGTTCACAAACAATTGGACTTTGAATTTAATGTTCTTTTTTTAAGTTACAACAAGTGTCATTTTTAGGAGTACCGATTTGCCTTTTATAGTAATCCCTCAATTGTCCTTTTCAATGTCAGGTTATTTGTAGCTTTTAATTTAGTCTTTTTGTTAGACAATTTTCTACTTTAAATATTCCCATATGCAACTTTCATCCAAGTTGATTTTACTCGAATTTCACTAATAAGAATTTATTGTCACATTGTGCGCACGACAGGATCAACAATATCATAAATGAGATATTTCGATGCAACCCCCTCCCTCCTTAAAAACATTAAATTCATAGTTAAAGAAGAGATTGAAAATAATTAAACTGATGTTTTAATAGGGCTTGTTCCACTTTGAAATTAAAAAATAACAATAATTAATCTTAATATGCTCCTAGGATGTCATGAAGTACTAATGAAATTTGGAAAAAAAACAATTTCTCATATATATTGTTAATGGGTTAATTTAAACACAAGATTGTTTTTTTACATAATTTTATTAAAAGGAATGTCTATGAAGACTTTCATATAATTCAGTGGTTTTTAGAATATATTTTATGCATTTTATGGAGTTGTACAGCAACGTACCTGCGGAACCTATTTGCGAACCTTCAGGATCGACGTCCATAATTGTGACAGCTAGAGCGATAATGAAATTAAGAAAAAATCTATGATGTTGCTCGGTGCTAATTTGTTTAAGGAGAGAACTTAGGCAACACACATAATTGTAGGGTTAAGTTCTTTCGCTACTGAACACCAGAATTTGTACCTTCTTAATGCAGCCAAATGTAATCACTAAAGTGAAACTTAGGCTCAATAATGTAATTACCTTTCTATCTTTATTTTATCAAAAAGCCACTCAGTTTGAAGAAATTATATACAAATTTACTAATTCTGCGAAGATTTATGAAAGGGAGTCTCTTAAATGTTTGAGCCTTGAAGCTAGACCTACCGTCCAAAAAAGATCTCGAAAAAGCGGAAATTCTCATGGAAACAATATCCGTCATTTTTGAAATGACTGAGTGAGAGAGAAAGAAAGAGTGACAAATGGGAGCGTAGCAAATGTGAAAGTTGCATTCGAATGAATTTGAAGAATGGAAAAGTAACCATGTCTTTATCTTCTACGCAATGCCACAAATAGGCTCATTAGAGCTCAACAAAAATAGGGCCAATTTATGACATTTCGACAACACTAAGCAAATAAAATTTCATTTATTCAAACATTCCATCATTTAATTGGCTATTCTTCATTTTGTGAAGGAGTTTGGGGTAGGGTTCTTCACCTTTTCCCCCCATTCCATAAAATAGACGAGCACACTGCTAATTTCGAGCAATCATCTATCTTACCTGTCCCCAATCTTAAAATAGCAAGACTCACTCTTTGTTCCACTTCAAAATGTTCAACAATTCAATCAGAAAACCTAATATAACCCAAAGAGCCTGAAGTAACATACCCCGTCCCAGTGAACGCTTCTCCAAAAACATTTTAATTGATTTTAAGTCCCACGCGGAGAGTACCATAGCTCCAGAGCTCAATAAATTTATGGGTCAATTTATTCTTGAGAGTCTACTAAACTTGCATCAACTTGACTTCACGACTTGGGGGCGATGACAACTTGAAAGCTTAACCAATTCATCATTCACCTTAATGTATCGAGTTACACATAGATCATCAAACCGTCATGAGCCGAAAGGCTCACTTCTTTACTAACGTGGTGGAGTCGAGTCACCCACGAGGCAGAACCTTTTGATAATTGGATACAAAATAAGGCGGTAAATCAAAGGGTGAATCTGCTCATCTCTTAGCAACATCCATTACCTCACTGTTATTTTAAGCAGATTATAAATAGGGAAAAAGGCTCATTTTTTGCATAGAAAAGTAATTAAATGATTTATTATAAGTAATTGAACACACAGACTGGAGTATATAAGAAAATTGGAATCTTAAAGATCGGCCTTTATTTGAATTATGAAGGCACTAAGTTGTTCACTCTCTCATAAGGGTAAAATTCACATTCTAATATTCAAATTCTATGTGACCAAAATTTAATGTATTCTAAGTGAATTAATATTGACAATATTCAGAATTTGTGAGCTTATTAGTACAAATGAATATTTTTATCCAATCGAACTTTTAACTGATTGTCTTACACTTTCCACGATTTCCAAATTAAACCTCCTTTTGGGGAGATACAAGATAGGGTTATATATGAAAACGGTATAGGAAATGGTTGTCCTTCTCAGAGTAGTAATTTTTGATTCCTTATATTTTTAATAATTGTTGAAAGAATTAACTGTCTGATTGCCCTAAAAGCAACCAGAAACAAACCAAATTAGTTCATTCATGTATAAAGGGAATTAATGCGGAAAGTTTAATCATCTGTGCTCTCGATAACAGATTGTCATTTTTGGTAATTAAAAAAACATTGATTGATGATTAAGCACAACTTGAATTACAAAAAGAAATAACTTTTATTCATCTCTTGGGTATGAACCTGTTGCCATACAAATGAATAAGAAATCCGGCTGATATTACTAAATAAATTTAAGTACGTCGAACGTTTATATAAATATAATTCAGTAAATTGGAACAATAAGCTTGGGGGGAGAGGGAGGGAGGGGGTGGAAGAGACAGTAAAATCTTAACCGAAATTCCACTCTTCGGATAGGTTTATAAATACACCAGAAAATTACTAGCTCATTTAATTTTAATTTAAATAATATTTAATTGAATAAATGTCCAGGGGTTTTGTAAACTAATTGAATGCGTTTAAATCTACTATCACTGCTTTAATGTTAAAATTTCACTTTCAACCGCGTCCATAAACAGACACCTTCGAACTGATTTAATTCAATAATACAAAAATTGAATCTATTTTGCCTGCAGTAAAGCTGTTTTTTCGTTAACCAAATTTTGAGCGTTTAACTCCGAGTTTCGAGAAAAGAGGGTCTTATTAAATTATAGCCCCCACCAATCTATCACTAACGCATGGTTTTAATTGGTTGAAAAGCGGGAGGGGAGGGCGATAGGCGTCTCATTAGTTGAGTTCGCTCAAAGCGCACACATCTGTCGCCGATAGCTCACTTCTAATTGGTCTAATAATTTTCACCTTCTGTGAGCGGATTGGCCAAGGTTAAGACAACCGTATGAGAGGAAATAAGAAAATTTAAGGCCTCATTTTCCTTGAACCAAACTCCTTGAGTGGTCCTCTTTTCATTTAATCACCTGACAACCATTGAAGTTTGTTACATAAAGTGGATTCGATTGCAATCAAATAGTCTTCCCTCTCAACAATTCACATTCATATTAACAATCGTGAGTCACGTATTATTTTTTTTCAATTAAAGTTCAGTTTTTCTGTAGTGGAAAGGATTCAAATGAACACATCTACCCCACAATTAATTAATCTAATGTGCAGTTTTTCTTTGTAGATTAAAAATGGACCCTCAGGATAGTAGCTTGACTCTTCTGCAAAGTACCAACCAAGCTATGGGCACTACCCAATCTCCTAATTCCTTTTTCAACACCTCTCATTGGTACAATGGTGTTTCAGACCCTAGAGTTCGTAGTGATTACGATTACCGTATGTTTAGATTTGCTATTAATATTTGGGTAAAGCTCCATTACTTCACTTAAACAAAAAGTTAAGCATCCATCCTACAACGAAAGTGTCGAATTTTACCAACACTTATTATTATTATTAACATTAACTTCCAATTTAATCTATATTTTATCCTTTTAACAAAAAATTCAATTAATTCACTTTTCGCTTTCAACTCCACTTCTTCCTCCAATAAGATGATTATTTGCTTACGTATAAAAATAGTTTGTTTATTATATAAAAAAACCGTATAACTCTCCACATAATTGCGCACAATCTGATAAAGGCGTAAATTGGATGCCAGAGGTGTGATTTTGCTCACATATCATTCCTAGAACTTAATTTGCAACATTTGGATTAATTGACAATGTAGCACAATTTGAATATAAATTGTAATTCCTGCCTTTAATTAATAGGCACAACAGCACAAGATAGTGTCTTGAATGTTGTTGCTTGACAAGTGTTCCAGATGGATCTAGGAATGACCGTTGGAGGCATATTTTGTTTGGCTGGACACAAGTAGGAATGATCAAATCAGAGGCATCTAATGGAAAGAAAATTTTCTGCATTTCAGCATTATATACATCGAAATGCAGATCAATGTCATTCTTAAAAGGCATAAATATCGTTTAATGCCGAATTATAGCCCAGGGTATCATTGCTACATTACCTTTTTTTTGATATTTGAAGAGAAAAGCCCATTTGAAAGTGGCTATAGGTGTCAAGCTTGTCAAGAAATAAAGTCAACCCTTCACAATTTTAACCGCCGCATACTTGTTCAAAGCGATAATATCCTTGGAAACTTCAATATATTGTGCATTTAAGGCGTTTTTGATTACTTCATCTCCATAACTACTAGCTCGTGAGATACATAGAATAATTTATCAACAGCATATATGATTACAGCATTTAGTAATGGTAGTAATGCAATATATTGATCAAATTATTAATTTACTTTATTTATACTGCAAAACCTCATCAAATGCTGTATATGCTTTCTTGAGACACCGAATTTTGCCAAAATTCACCAACATTAAAGTAACATTTACTTAATTTGTTATATCAGTGGAGGGGATTGCTTGATTTCAAGAGTCCTTCAAATGGAATTCGGGGTTAATCTTTTGTGTCAAATTAGTAGCGAGTAGGTCATGGTAGATTGTCTGAAGTGGGTACTTGAATTAAGAGGAGGAAGTTCACTAATTGCCATCTGCCTTTCCAAAAAATAAATCTGCAATCAAATAACCCCGATTCAGCTTGAAATTCTGCTGTTTGAACATTTGCATAGGCTGACAATGAGTAATTTAAAATACCGCTAAGCCCTAAAACTTATTAAATCTATTATAATAATATTAATATTATATTGAGTTTTAATTAAGATACATTTTTTTGCTTGTGACAATTTTACACTTACGATTATTTAATTATGTCGTAAACATATTTGATAAAAGCTTAAATTCTAAATGTGCAAACCCTAAATATAAACGCTTTGATCTAATCTAGTGCATAAAATTACTCATTTTTTTCCAACATCACATAACCGCAATCCCACCTCGTGTATTGAAAATCAGTAAAAGAAATTGTATTTGATTTTGCTAATTTCAAATATACATATAAATGACAAATGTAGTAATTATTCAAAATGCACTGCAAAATTATTGTAGAAGCATTTAAAGGTTCGATTTGAAGTTGCTGCTTCAACTTACAATGAAGGTAAATTTGAATCTCATTACAAGCTATTGATTGTTCTATTAATTTTAGTGACCCGTTTCATGGGTGGAACTCAGGCTCGAAGTGTCCCATTTGATGAGAGTCATTTGAAGCAGAAGATTGGATTTTATTCCTCAACATCAACACCATTTCTCTATTCGCAAACATCGAACTCCCCAAATCTGCCATCTTATACCTCCTACACACCGGCCTATTCTGGCACTCCACGTCAGACACCAACATCTCCAACACTAATGCCCGTGGCCTATCAGTCTACTGGAGGCCGAGATTATGAAGGCCATCATAAATCGGCTTTGGCGGCAGCTTTAGTAGCTCATCAGCCGAATCCCCAAATAACAAGCACCCAACCTTACGTACAGAGACGAAAACGACGTGTTCTCTTCAGCCAAGTTCAAGTCATGGAACTAGAGAAAAGATTTAAGCAACAGAAGTATCTCACAGCTCCGGAACGAGAACAATTAGCTCAACTGATAAACTTAACCCCCACACAGGTAGGAATCACCTATTGTTGATGGTTAGGGGAGATTTAATGTGAATTTAAGGCATGTGAATAAATTTTAGGTAAAAATTTGGTTCCAGAATCATCGCTATAAGTGCAAGAGGGCTTACAAAGAGAAAGGTGATGGTTCAATGGACATGGCACAATCCCCCATTAATAGCGGTTCTAATGATGGCAAAGACGACAATATTCCGAGTGATCACAGTTCGCCAAGGGAAATAAGTAGCAACAAAGGTGACATGTCGTCAACATTGAACATGATCCAGTCGCCATCCAATGAACCCAAGGAACGTTTCAGCGCCTTTGAACAAACAGTACCTTCGCAAGAAAATAGGTTCTTTCCAGTTTCGGCACCACCATATACCGGCTATGGGAATCAATCAGTGTATCCCTCTAGTTCAAGGGATCCGTCCAGAGATATAGATTCTGCATGTCCTGATATTTATCGATCTTATATTAATCAATATATTACCGACTGCGATCCTTCACGGCGGTTAGCTGCTAGTATTTTTGGTGATGAGGTAAATCCAAATAACAGCACAACTGACTACTCCATGAACCCCAAAGCAATATTTGAGGGATATCAGAGATCAGACGCCAGAGTACCTTCGAAACATCCCTTTGGAGTTGAGATGAGAGAAAACGACTATTCAACTAGAAATATGGAATTATATCGAGTGACACAATCAATGGTAAAGACGGAGGGATTATGGACGGATTATATTAATCAAGAAGCTATAGATAAAAACAGCAACATTCCACCATCAACATCTTCTATCTACAACTTTCCAACCAATAACCGAACCGAGTGAAATGGACCAGAAGATACTACTCGTGGTTTTTGTCCAATTACTATATTATATGGGGGGGGGGAAGGATTATTTTTCGTTATTGATATTTGTATACTGTCAGTGTTAACCGTTGAGTGCGTTTGATTGACAATAAAATGTACCATTTATGATATTTGCCTGTTCTTTAATTTTTAACAGATGAAAATATCAATTGTTGCTATTGACTCTGCATTTATTTTAACCAAGTGAAATCCAAGTTTTAGGTCGTGGATTTCTGGAAGATATTCACAAATATGGGTGATATTGGCTCATAAAAATGTTAAATGTTACAAATATGCTGTCACATGTTTCAATGGAATCAGATTACCAGGTGAAGGTATAAAAGAACTGCTTTATTCTCTCAACAATAATTAGAAGTGATTAAGTGTCTAAAATTCTATCTATTTCTCTTTCATTAAATAGGTCGCCTGGCAGGATTTATGATATTTATCATCAGCCCATAAACTTTGACTTCAGCTTCCCCCGTGGGTGGGGGGGGGGGGGAACATATATATTAGGTTGGCAACTAAGTCATTGCCCATTTCAAATAAGAAGGCAAATTCGGAATTTTTGTTTAAAAATATAACTTTATTCAATTAGATAATGGCCGTTCTTGTCGATGACCTTTTTCCATCGTTCTGGCAGAGTAAAAATTCCCCCTTCGTAAAATGTCTGGTCTTTGCTATTAAAAAACTGAATTAGGTGTGAACCGACATCATCCGCGTTGTTAAAAATTTTACCATTTAAAGAGTTTTGCATGGAACGAAACAAATGGTAATCCGAAGGCGCAAGGTCAGGGCTATATGGTGGGTGTGACAAAACATCCCAACCCAGTTCCAATAATTTTTGCCGAGTAACCAAAGATGTGTGGGGCCTTGCGTTATCATGATGGAAAACAACACCCTTCCGCCGATTTGATAATGCCGGCCGCTTATCTTCAATTGCATCCTTCAGTTTTTCGAGTTCTTCAACATACACATTTGAATTTATCGTTTGGTTCTGCGGCATGAGTTCAAAATACAAAATTTCTTTGTGATCCCACCAGACTGACAGCATAATCTTTTTTTGGTGAATCTCTGCTTTTGATACTGTTTGGGCTGGTTGATCTTGCTTCACCCATGATCTCTTGCAAGTAACATTGTTATAAGCTATCCACTTTTCGTCGCCAGTAACTAGGTTCTTCCTCGGAAATGGATCATTCTCATTGCGTTTCAGTAGCGGCGAATCACAGATGCTAATCCGTTGCGTCAAATGAATTTCCTTTAACTGGTGAGGGATCCATAAATCAAGTTTCTTGACATAACCAGGGCTTTTTAATTTTTTTTTCAATGCATGTATGCGACACATTGAGCTTCTCTGCAATATCTCGTGTTGTGCTGTGACGATTTGAATCGATAATGGCCTTGATATGGGTTTCATCCACTTCGACTGGACGGCCAGATCGTTGTGAATTTTTCAGTGAAAAATCACCGGAACGAAATCTTTCAAACCAATTTCGACACTGCCTTTCTTTTAAGGCTTCATCCCCATATACGGCACATAACTTCTTTTGTGTTTGCGATGCGTTCTTGCCTTTTCGGAAGTAATACAATAAAATGTGTCGGAAGTGTAAGTCCTGTTCTTTCATTTTTAAATTGGGATAAAAACAAAACTAAAGAACTAAACAAAAAAATTTTTTACTAATTAACCTAGAAGCCCATACAGTAAGAAAAAATATAGGTTAGATGCTCTGGCCACGTTAACAAAACAAAAGAAAGTATAGAGTGAATCTGTCAACAAAAACGACAATGACTTAGTTGCCCACCCAATAGCAGTTAATAAATAGCAGTTCATTAGCTGTCTTCTTGCTTCCCAGTATCTCTGCCTTTCCGTCTTCTATTTTGACCCCTCTAGATATTGGCTTTACATAAGAGTACGATCTACCTCTCTTACCCTAAATAATAGGGATTTAAAAGAAAAGAATTGAGAATCGAGATAAGTGCACATCTCAAAATGCACAGCCATCCACTCAGCTGGTGAACTCTGGGTCTGAATTAGCTGAAATTCTCACCTTTGGTATTGACGAGACAGTTCCCCCTTTTAGGGCAACTATTTTAATCCCTTGAGGTTAAGAAGATAATTTTTCAAGCCTTAACGGTGCTCTTTTTTCTTTCAACAAATTCTTAGAGCTCATTTAACGCTTTTGACCAAAGAATAAAATTGCTACCCCCTCCCGGAATAAGTGTAATAATTTTATCAAGAGTCTAATTATGTTAACTTTATTTTTAAATTACAACTTGTGGCTGTATACTGGTGTGTGTGTGTGTATGTGTGTGTGTGGGGGGGGTCGTTTTATTATCGAACGCTAACTAATCATCATTTAATTAAGCGTGTAGAGAAGAAAGGGAGTTGAGTTCATTTCTCTTGTTGATTTATTAGTGTGAATTAAAGAGACTTTAAAGATTTTCGATATACACCAGAGTGATTGCTCTCAATCTCTCTCTCTCTCTCTATTGCCTACCACATACACATATATACATATGTTGTGACAAAGAAATTGAATGGACTGGAGCCGCTTAAAAACTTGACATAAAAAATAATATTTCTATGTTCTACTAAAGAAAATTAGGCAAAGATACTCTATTCTATTCTCCGACTTTGTGAATACACGCACACCCACATTCAAAGGTGCATGCACAAAGTAGAATAACTGCTCAAAATAGAGAGAGATTCCTGATTGTGATTGTGACATATTTCTGAACGCCTTTTGGGGGGAAAATTTCCCCATTAAAGCGTTATAGGCAGTAAAGTACATTCTGAGGGGAATTGAGATCATTTCAAAATAACCCTTTACGTAATTGCATTATATATAAGCTATTTTTAATGTATAATTAGCAAGCTAATCTGAATTTGCATTCCATATAATTTGAGTGCCATGCTTTGAGTAATGCTCTAGCTATTCTCAGGATTCTACAACAATAAGACGGAGAATGTAAAAAAATAGAGAAGTTCATGGAAGTGTTGCATTTAAAGCTATTAGTTAAAATAAAAAATACTTAATTCATACTTTCTAGTAATAAAGAACTAAAGGATAATTCGTATCACCATGTTAAATCAGTTTATCTATCCATACTAATACCCTGGCTAGAATTACTAGTTCCAAGAGCGCTTTTAAAAAATGCCAATCTCATAAACACTAGGAATTGAAGAATCATCCATATGAGTTTTTCAGCCAACTGAGAGAAGTTATTTTTAATAATTATGGTTGTGGGATTGATGTTCCAATCATTGCTTACAGGAAGCACACCTATATTCCATTCAATAGAAGATGGGGACTGGTATTTTATATCCATTTTTTTCAGGTAGTGACAACATAATTTCCATATCAAGATTATTATTTTCAACCAGTAAAGTTATCTGTTCATTAATACTTAAAGATGATATCAAATCTAGCTTGACTCAGAAGTGAGATATATTTTTGCCAATCGTGAGTTTAACTACATTCAATTTAATCGATTCCGCATTAGTCTCAAGGGAATGGCACATGTCATTTAAAAATGTGAATCTTCTTATTAGGTGACTTTCAATAAGTGGCCGTAGGTGATCTCCCAAGAGTATTCAAGACTATCATGAAGTAGGGGAGGGGGGAAGGTTAATAATTGAACCTTAAAAAACGCGATTAAATTAAGACAAAACCGTAGTTTGCAAATCTTACTGGGTTATTGAAGGGAAACTTCGCCTAAAAGAGTTGTTTGAGTTCAAGGAAATGAGGGGCCTTTAGAGGTGTAAGGGTGGTTGAATAGTGTTCATCACGATTCGAGTGTGAAATTTCTGTAATGGAGCAGTACTAGGTAGAAGAATTTTTTTTCGCGAAAGATGGATCATGATGCAACTCTACAGTACTTCGCATGAACTAGAAACTGCTCAATTAGTAAAGTGATTTATTTTATTTTTAAATATGACGTTATTTTTCACTTGTTAGGTAATTAAAATATGATTTTTAAAGTACTTTGCCGTAATTAATCCAACACGAAGTTACTTATGAGCATTTTTCATCAAATTTTATGAGTCTTAGTAAAGGCAAAAAATGGTGGAGTGAGTATAGGCTATCCAGTAGCTGGTATGAGAACGAACACGTGTTCGTGGAATGGCTAATGGTAAGACATTTGTTAACACCACTGACAATTATTGATTAACCGCTCTCGGGACTAATTGATTAATTGCCCCCATGACAATAAGGGAAAAAAGGCTGTCTTGAGTACAACGCACAACAATAGAGAATAACCCTGTTCCATCTCACCACCCCTTGTTGAAAGAGAAAAAAAACGAATATCAAGGCTGACAACTATACTTGTCAAATGAGTAACCCCATGCCTTATTAAAAGATGAGTTATACTTGATATACTATTGGGGGGGGGTCCACGCACAGGTCATGTTTGAACATGACAAGCTGGAAGTGGCTGGGAATGGGGTCAGTGTGGAGTTACGATGTGTTCGTTCTCTGTCTCCTTTTGACTGAGAACACCAGGACGTATTGTAGTCCACCGGTATACACACATTCATATGAACCTAAGCAACAACAGCATAAACCGCTAGAAAACAAAAGGATAATAAAATGTATTTATGATAAGCATGCCTGATACTTGTCAAAAGATCATAAAATACCATATGATAGCTGGGATTCACACTACTTCTAAATGGACTACTTCATTGTGGTAACTGAGCAAATCGTGTTAACTGCTTTTAATATTCCTAACTTTGAGTAAAGGGCTAAAAATGAACGATTTAAGATTTGAAAGGTATTATTGAAAGAAATAAAACATATTTGTGTGATTTTGTTTTAATGAATTTATACAATAGAGTGAGGTTTTAAGTGGTTCCAAGCTCTTCCTTAAGAAGAGAGTAGTGTTCAGTTATTTTTAAACAACCAATAGCAGTCACCTTGAATTTTCGAGTTGAAATTCAAATTAGGGAGAAAATTAAACAAAGAACTAACCATTTGA